CTTGGCCATTTTTTCAATGCAAAATGGAAACAGTAATTTTTAATTAAATTTATGTTTTTTAAAGTATATTTAAATTCATAAGAATATTTTTTCACTTTTACCTATAGTTTTAACTGAAATATCTGCTTATTCAATTATAAGTATATGTGGATACAAAATGGTTAGATATGTCAATTTAAACACTAATTTTGATGCAAATTTAAAAAGATTGAATAAACTTTTAACAAAAGTTTTGATTATTTTGGTAAGCTAAAAAATTCTGGCTTCTAAATGGTGGCTTTATTAAAAAGGGGGTCTAATTCAGGGGGGGCTATAATACAGAAAATATGATAACTAATTTTTTCATCTAAAATGTAGATTGGCTTTCTAAATTGAAAATAATATATTTTAAATATAAAAATTTTAGGCTATTGTACCTATTGTTAATTACACTGGACTTATGTTTATTATATTCTATACAAAAACAACGAACATCACAACAAACATTATTCGAATATTAATTTACATTTCTTTTCATTTTATACCCGTATTTAACCCAATTATTTGTATTTTAACAAATACCCCATATCGAAATGCTGTTTTTAATCGTGCACAAGTAAATCCTCAGTGATTAACTAATTTCCTTCTTCGAATTCATATGAATAAGCTACTTAATAATAACTTGAAAAATGACAGAATTTTTTTAGAAATTGTCAGAAAAACCATCAGGAATCAGGCTTTAATTTTTAAATGTTATAAAATTAATGTAAAAATATTATCATTAAAAACATTAATCATATTATCCAATTTCCCATCATTATCATTATTATCTTTTTTAAATTAACTGCATTTTGTATTAAGTTTTTCTTCAAAATTTTTATAAAATAAATACGTGGATTTTATCACCTTTTTCTTTTTGTTTGTTTAAACTTTGTGAAATTTTTCTATATATTAAATTAAAAAAAATTAATACAAAAGATCACATTTTTAATTTAAAGACAATTTTAAAAAATATTAATCAGTTATTAAAAGTTTGTATTTATTTAAAAGAAAATTTAATGCGAGTGATTTGGTTCATTTAAAAAAGCGATTTGGTTACCTCGAAATGAGGTGGAACGATTTGTCTAGGGTTATCTACTATTATACTTTTATATTCGGTATTTTTAGAGGTATATTCTAATTTTTAAGAATATTATTTTGATATGATTAGAAGAGGTCTATTTTTTGAGGAACTAGATAAATTGATAATATTGATGTTAAGATTGGATGTTAAATTAATAAACAATCTGTAATAAAATATTGATAACATACATATAAATGTATAAATAGGAAATTATTCCTCAATGGTAAGATTTTTATCCAGGATTGGGCAAAGTGATTTAACAGCAAATTTTTTGCTCTTTCTGTCGTGCCATCAAAAATTTTTTTATATTCATTGGAATATTTTTTTGTTTTTTAAAAATAAGTATTTATACATACTTCATCAAAAGACGTCATAGTGAAATTCTTAAAAAATTCAACGTAAAATTAAAAAATTCTAAGGAGTAAATTAAAATTCTGAACAAGATGAGAGCAACATATTAATTATAAATAATTATATAGAAAAAAATTTTTATTTGCCATTGAGGAGTTAAATAAATGCCAGGTGAAAATAAAGATATTGGAAGTTTCTTCTTTCAAATAATATTTAAATTCTTTATGTAAAAAAATTTTTTAAATCATTTGTAATAAAAAATGTCCTTGGATATACTTGATATTTTATTTTAATTAGATTATTTTGTTTGTTTATTAATTGGTTTTCCTTTAAACATTATTCTGATTGTTTTAATTATTTTTAAAACACCAAAAGAAATGAAAACACACAGTCGAATTCTGATACAAAATTGTGTTTTAGATATTTTATTATTAATTAATCAAACGCTTGTTCAACAGGTAAAAGCGACATAAAACCAAGTTTATAATTTTTTCTAGTTTTATATACCCTAATTCTTTAAAAAAAGAATTGTTTAAAAACAATTTTATATTTATTTGTAGTTTTATATACTTGATACAGAAGGGAATACAATTATGATTTTCCCCAATGGAATTTTGCTTATTTTTGTAAATGAAAATTTTAATCCATTAATAAGTTATGTTGTTTTCATTGTTTGGGCATTTATTTCTTATCTAAATACACATGGACTGTCTGTTCAATTCATTTATAGATATTTAGTTTTGAATAGGTATTTAATTTAAAAAAAATATCAAAAATTCTTTGCTTTAAATGGTAATTTTGTGGCGAGTATAAGTTAAGATTCGGTACTACCGTCAGTACCGAACCGGTACTTTTCGGTACTCCAGGAATCGGAACCGAAAAAATCCATTTCCTAACACTAATATAAATTAGGGTTGTTCACCATCCCCGTCCTCTAAAGTTGGGGAATTTGTGACATCTTTGAAACTTCCTCGTCCCCCTCCCCCCGTAGCGCTGATTCCCCGAAAACTATTCCCCATGCCCCCCCCCCCTCGTTCGGAAAGATAATTTAAAGAGATGTACAGATAATTTAAAGAGATGTAGAGATAATTTAAAGAGATGTACATATGTATAAATTAAATATTAAAAGGAATATGAAAATTAATTTCCTTCGTTATTTATCTATGTTCTCCATTGCTTTATTTGCGACGTTATTTTACACTTTGGATTTAATTTTGTTTATCATACCGTACGCAGTTGGAGGTATTAAATATTTTGAAGATTTTAAAAAAACTTGGCCATTTTTTCAATGCAAAATGGAAACGGTAATTTTCAACTAAATTTATGTTTTTCAAAATAAATTTAAATATATTTAGTTGAATATTTTCTCACTTTTGCCATTGGCGTTAATTGAGATATCCGCATATTTAATAATAATTGTTTGTGGATTTAAAATGGTTAGATATGTCGATTTAAACTCCAATTTTGATGAAAATTTAAAGAGATTGAATAAACAATTAACAAAAGTTTTGATTCTTTTGGTAGGTTTTTTGATTGTACTTTTAAAAGAATATTTTAACAAGATTCGAACTCGGTATAGTCATATCGTCAAAATTTGATGCTTCTCCCTTGAATAAAAAATAACTATGTATGTTAAGTGGAAACCTGATACTTAATCCGGCAATTTTTAGATCGTATCTTTTTTAAGAATATTTCTATCAGAAGTAGATAAATAATTTTTTAATCTAAAATGCTAGGTTAACTTCTTAAGGGAAAGTAATATATTTTAAATATAAAAATTTTAGGCTTTTGTACCGTTTGTTAATCACACTGGACTTATGATCCTTATATTCTATACAAAAACAACCAACATCACAATAAACATTATTCGAATATTAATTTACATTTCTTTTCATTTTATACCCGTATTTAACCCAATTATTTGTATTTTAACAAATACCCCATATCGAAATGCTATTTTTAATCGTGCACAAGTAAATCCTCAGTGATTAACTACTTATTTTCTTCTTCGAATTTGTCTGAATAAGCTTCTATTGAATATTAAACACGAAAAAAATTTTTAAATGATTACTTTAAAATAATTAGAAATCGGACTATAATTTTAAAATATTATACTAGATTATCCCATTTCCGAGTATTATAATTTGTCATACCAAAAGCACCAAATATCTAACTATTCCCGTACCATTACGGCCGAAATCCAATCACTCTAATAAGAATATTAGAAATTCTCCAGTAAAGTTTATTCTATTTAAATATTCATGTTATTATCAAAGAATAATTTTTTTATGATATGATCAAAGATAATTCGAAGATAATAACATTTAAAATTAATTTAACATTAACCTAAGAATAAAAAATTTTCTTTATACAACTTTTTCTGTTAGTATTTGTGCATAAAAATCTTATAAATATTTCGTTTTTATTTTTTTAAACAATAAAACTAGGAGCTAGAAGACATCACTAATAAAATTTCGATTATCGAGATTATTATATGTATTGCGGCATATCGAACTCGATTTTCGTACTCCCGCCCCGTTTCAGTTTCTTAATAAACTTGTGCTAATAACTAATTCAAATCAAATCAAAATTTGCATTTAATTTTAAGCCAAATTTCATATTTGAATCTTTCATGGTTCATTATATTTTTAATATTTGTATAGAATAAAAATTTGGCCAAATATAGCATGTTTGTAGCATATTCAACGAAATATAATAAAATTTAAAAATAAAAAATATGCAATGAAACGGACCCGTTATGACCAAGAATTTCCATAAATGGAAAATTTAAATTTTCAAAAATAAAATACTAAGAAAACTAAAAAATAATAATTTACATAAATAAAAAAATATTTTTTTATTATCCAAACAAAACACACAAAGTTTTAAAATAATAAAAATAAGGGTTATTCAAAACAAACAAACAGGCTTTTTGTATTTTGTTATAGAAAGAATAACGTGGAATTTTTAACAAATAAAAAGGGTTTATCCAAAGTTTTATGTTTTTGATCATAAATCAAATAAAAAAAATTTTTAATATAAAATGACTACAAAATTTCGGTAAAGTCTCTTAAATTTGCAAAAATTATTAAAGTGATAATTCTACATATTTTAATATATAAACACAATAATTCTCTTACTTTGACCAATAAAACATTTTAAAAATCATATTTTGTTTTAAATACATATTTAAAAGATGGATTTTCGACTCCGAGATAGAAGGATTTTCCGGGGTACAGTCTGAAATTCCGGATTTTTAACAAACATTTAATTTGTGTGATGCACAAATTAATGCCTTGATTATGCCTTGATCCCTAAAATGCCTTGATATTCCTACTAACAACGATCCTACATCGGACTTTTACACATTAATTAGCACATTTATAAGTCCATATTTTGATATTATGTCATTTTATTGTGAGTACCGGAGTACCGCTGTACTACCGAAAATTTTTCATGGGTCCTTTTCGGTTTAGGTACTTTAATATTTTTTATATTATTTTTTCCTATATACCTCAAAATAGCTAAAATTTAATTAAATTTTAGATAAAAATTAATTTAAAAAAAATGAAATCTACAACTTTTCAATTTATTTTTCTTTTAATTATTGGTATTCAATTAATTTGTACTCTTAATAATGTGGATGGAGCTAATGAACAGAAAATAAATGTTGACAAAATGAAGGAAAAGAATAATGGTGATGGAGGGGGGTTATTAAATGAAGACTATACTGAACCCAAGCAAAACCCACCAACTCATACTCATTAAATATGAAGTTTGGAAATATTAAGATATATTCAAAAAAGTGTGATGAAAATTCGTTTTAATGATTAATTTGTTCGGAAATAAAACAATAATTATTTTTGTTGTGTTATCAATTTATTTATTGAAATTATATGAAAATTTGCATCCATCCCTCTTCCAAAAAAATTTCCGATGCTAATGAACTAAATTTTTTCAAAATCTGAATTAACTTACTTTAATAAATAACTAACAAGATGCATGTGGAATCCTCCAAAAATCCCTAACACCCAGTTAGTTACTCAATTTGTAATAGGAAAATTTTCAAAGAAACAAAAAAAACAATATGTATAGGGTTGCCAAAATGGACCGACTCGGACCGAAAGATCGAGTCATGCCTCGATGTTTGGCCCGAAAAAGTCTCGTACCGGCCCGACTCGATAAAGTTTGGCCCGAAAAAGACTCGTAACGGCCCGACTCGATAAAGTTAGGCCCGAAAGTGACTCGTACCGGCCCGACTCGATAAAAACAGGCCCGAAAAAAATTGTCTCGGAAAAAGTCGGCCCGACTCGAACAAGACTCGATAATATTTTTACAAGATTTGTGGACAAAAATATGAGAAATCTGGCTCCTTGGCCTTCCAAAATTCGAAAAATTTTCGCCTGCGGCGGTGAAAAAGGATGAAATTTGGTCCTTAGCCTTCCGAATATCTCAAAATTTTTGCCTGCGGCGCTGAAATGAAAAATTTTTAGCTCCATACTTTGCTTCACATCTCGAACTTACTGGCTTTAATCGATAAGCTGGATTACTGGGATTTATAGGATATATTCCGCGGGATCCCATCATCATTTGAACTTTTTAAACTCAATCAGTCCTTTTTTTTAAACTCAATCAGTCCAGGGGTCCAAAATTCTCAAAATTTTCGCCTGCGGCGCTAAAAATAGAAGAAATCTGGTTTCCTGACTTTCCAGTAAGCCCTTATCTAAATACGAATAGACCAATCATGGTACACTGGGATTTTATCAAGGGATTTGGTGATTAACGCACAATATGATTAACGCGATCCTGATCCCCTTAATCATCTGATCTCCTTTAATAAAACCAAACTAGCAATATCTCACACCAATCCTCCGATAATTTAAATCACCTTAATCCCTCAAATCCACTGATATCCATTTCAATTCTCTTCAGCCCTTCCTTTACCCTCCAGATCCATCGATATACCTTTTAATTCACAGATATCCCTCCAAATCCACTAATTATTTTTAAATAAATCTTTTAAAAAAAGACTCGAAAATGTCTCGATGCCCGACTCGATAAAGTCAGGCCCGAAAGTGACTCGTACCGGCCCGACTCGATAAAGTTAGGCCCGAAAAAGACTCGTATCGGCCCGACTCGATAAAAACAGGCCCGAAAAAGACTCGTACCGGCCCGACTCGATAAAAACAAGCCCGAAAAAAAATGCCTCGACCGTCGGCCCGACTCGAAAACGGCAACCCTAAATATGTAATTAACTATTTATTCAAAAAAATTTTTTTAGTCCACATTAACCCCACCAATTCCCCAGATTGGAAGCAGGCCAATCTACCGCTTCTTAACCTCCACACCCCGGGAAATATTTTTTCAACAACAATGTGTAATTAAAAATTTATTAAAAGATATATTTTATTTTTAGTTATCCTTAGTGTTTGGAATTTTGAAATTTGCTCGTACTCGTACTTTCGTACATGCCTTATTTTTCTTCGTACTCGTACATGCCCCTAATTTTCCTGTTCGTACTCGTACTTAGTACACACGTACGAGTACGAATTTCAGTACGAGCTTCCAAACACTGTTTATGCTCTCATTAAAGGTATTGGTTCTCTAATAATTTCATCCTCTTCCTCTTCTCCAATCTCTTCAATTCTTCCTTTACCATTTTTCTTTTTCTTCCCTCCATCACCACAAAAATAATTTTCTCCAAATAATTGTTTATTTATTAAATTTAATTTATCCAAATATTTGTGTAATCTTAATTCCTTTGTTGTTTTACACAAAATAGCAATTACTCCATCTCTAGCACTTAACTGACAATTTGCTCTTTCAACAAAAGCCAAATCTCCAATTTTTTCTAAAATGGGTAAAACCGAGGATTATGTCTGAAATTTAATATTTTTGCGGACAAAATTTGCGGACGAATATTTTCTGTAATTTTGTCCGCAAAGTTAATCCGCAAATATTTGTCCGCAAAAATCTGTCCAAAAAAATTTGTCCTCAAAGTTAGTCCGCAAAAATTTGTCCGCAATAATAACGAATAATTATACCTAAAAATGCCCTAGAATATAAACCAACAGATGATGAAGATCTATCAAAAATTAAAACATTTCCATAATTGTCAACACATAAAGCTCCAGGTCTTTCACATATTCCAAGTATTCTAGCATTTACAACTGTTGAATTGTAAATGGATATTAATTGGACATAACAACGATTAGTCTCCACTAATAATAATTCTGTTACTGGACCTGAAAATTAATTTTAGATGTTACCGAAACCAAAGGGATGGGCGGATTACCGAAACCAGGTCTTTTTTCGACCTCAAAAGCGACTTGGAAAATTTTCGAAAACCCAACACGAACCCCGACCCGAGTTTTCTGTACATATAAAGAGAGGAGTGAAAGAAGGAGGGGAGGCATCGAAAGAAAACGATAAAGTAAAGCAACTGGGCTATAGCTAAATATTTCTCTCCTTTAGATAGTGCAAAAGGTTAATCGGCACTGGGAGCGAACCAGCATCTTCAGTAGATCGTTAAACTCCAGCATCCCTGATATTTCGAGTTCACGACTTTCGGGAATCGTGTACCGAGTCGGCGTGATCCCTGATACCTACCAACACTAGCAAAGTAATTAACATCAGCAAATTGACTATTAATTCTCGTTCCTCTACATTCAATCCACTTTCCATTTTCACAATTTAATTCAAACAAAAATCCCTGATTTGGTGTATTTGCAGCCAAATAAATAAATTTATTAAAAGAACACATTTTACAGCTCCAAATAACCCTCTCTCTTAACCATTTTGGTGCTTCTATTCTATCTAACATTGAAAAATCAGAAATTGAAAATCTGCAGATATAACGGCGCCATTCGGGTTTTGATTGGGGTTGTTGTTGTTCTAATGGTTTTTCGTTACTTTGTCTTTCTTTTAAAATTCCTTTTATTGGAGAGGTTGGAGGTATATCAGAATTTTCTTTATCGATATTCACATTGTATTCTAATAAAACCTGAAGAAAATTTTTATTAAAAATATTTTTGAATAAAGAGAATTTCATCCCAACAGATCTTTAATGAAAAAAATACGGTATCGACGACTATTTCTTGAATCACGTCCTTAATGTTCTGACAGGTTTAGACTTTCGATTTAATGGCACTCCAATATTATTGTAATCGGAGTGCCTCCTCAACCTCCTCATAGAGTGCGCTTCTATTGGGACGTGCGCTTCAAATGGGACGTGCGCTTGTACTAGGAAAAATACAGTATTACATTGAGGGCAGTTATTAAGATCTATCTACATAAATAAACAAACAATTAGAACAGGATATTGTATCGAAATTGGGTAATTGTCTGAGGGGCCACTTAAAAATTAAAATTTACAAAGATGGTCTGTTCTTCTCCATTATTATTTCCTCCACTTCCCAAACAACAACATTCTGGATTTCTCCAAACATTTTGTTTTGGACTTATTTGTTTCAAAACTTGTTTAGATTCTAATGAAATTAACAAAAGACCGGCATCTGAATCAACAATTAATAAATTATTTCCAGGCAAAAGTAGGCAATCCATTGGAAATTGAAGCAATGATTGGCTAACTAAAACACATTCTACATCAAGAATTGGACTAAAAATTGAGATGAAGAAATTTGTATTTTGTAAAGTATATTTGGACTATAAAAGGTCCCAATGTCCAAATCTCTTATGTATCCCAGTCATAGTTACTAACATCCCAGTTCTAGTCTTACAATCTTTCAATTACTTCATTTTCAGTTATCCCATGTAGGGCTGGGGCCCAGTCTTTCGGGCTAGTCTTCGGCGAAATGGCCTGATCGGTCCCTCCGATAGCCAAATCCTAAAACAACTTAATCAAATCCTGAATAATTCCTAAAAAACCGGGCCCCAGCCTTAATCAGACGTGTTTTAATTTTATTGAGTATAAGTGATTTAGGATTGGCTAGATTGGATTTAGGATTGGCTATTTAGGATTACCTAATGATTTAGGAATTGGCTAGCGGAGGGGCCGACCAGATCATTTCGTCGAAGACTGGCCCAAAAAATAATAACCACAAACCCTCCTCCAATTTGAATAACAGATTCTGGTATTTTTGTATCCACTCCAACAGTTTCCCTATTACTTCCAGATAACCCATGAATTCCTGCATTTAGTGCTTCTTGTAATTCATCCTTTGGCGTATTACCTGGTCTATCCATTTCAAGATTAAATTGAGAAGGTCGAGTGATTGGAGGTTTCTTTAAAAAATAAAAAATAGTCAACTCAGTTTCAAAATATCCCAAGACTTTGGACTTGGGGTATTTTGAAAAAAATTCCGGTTTAGAACGTTTCTATCAGTTACCAATGACATCCTAAAAGATTGACCAACTCATCCTTTTATTCAGATCTTAATGTTATTTTTGGTAGATATAAGGTTGGCGGATAGTTGGAAATCTTCGGATATCGTGATCCGGATCCGAAATTTTCTAGAAATCTATGGAAAAAAATCGCACCTATAATTTCGAAAAATTTATAGGGGATTTACCGTATTTCCCCAATAAAATGGCTGACCATTTGTTTTTCAATAATTCCAAGCGGAAAAACGTAAAACGAAATAAAACGTTTTATCACCTAGGTGTGTTTCGTGATATACCAAAAAATTCTTTCGTGCTGTTCATAAGGGTTCCTTACTGACATTCCTTACTAAGTTTTCCATCCTACTTTATAGGCACTAAACTATTATGAAATACAAAAATATACTATACTTTTTCTGTCTCTTGTGCCTGTAATCCACATATTTTATCAACCAATTCCAGTGCCTCTTTGGAACGTCTTCTCAATTTTAATTCATATTCATCCAAAGAAGATATTTCATCTTTGGACTTGTTTTCCATAATTTTTTGTTGTTCTTCCTTCCTTTCCTCAACAAATCTGACATTTTTTGGTAAAATAATTGTTTCTGTTAACATTTTTTCTTCTTTACTTTCTTGAGGAATTAAATAATTAACATTAGCTGGTTTAACTTCAGTTAATTCAAGTGTTTCATAGCCGTTTGGAGGAACTTCATAAAATTTAGTTTCTTCACTTTTCGATTCTTTTCTGTCTATTTTGTCTTCTTTTTCGTCTTTTTCTTTAATATTTTCTAAAACTAGCGAAGGTGCTCGCCCTTCGGGCGAGCTCCTCCGCTAGCCTAATTCAAAATCATAACAAAACTTAAAAGTCAAATCAACTCATTTCCGGTCAGTCTTTTCCTTTGACAAAAACTTTTTCCTATCTCCTGACAATCCCCTGACAATCTTCAACATCATCCAAAACAATTCTTACATTGCTTCTCATTTAAAATTGTGAAACTGAAATTTTAGATTTATTTTCATTAATTTAATTATTTTGATTTTCAACTTCCGATTTTCAACTATTAACACTAAGATTGTCAACTTTCAACTATTAACTATTAATATCAATTTCAACTAACTATCAGTTTTCAACTATTAACTATTAATATCACTTTTCAACTATTAGCAATTAATAGCAATTTCAACTATTAACTATTAATATCAATTTAAACTATTAACTATTAATATCAATTTCAACTAACTATCAGTTTTCAACTAATAATTATTAATATCAGTTTTCAACTATTAACTATTAATAGCAATTCCAACTATTAACTATTAATATTAATTTCACCTATTAACTCACTTTTCAACTATTAACTATGATTTATATTAACTAAGATTTATAACTTTCAACTATTAACTATTAATATCAATTTTCAACTATTAATAGCAATTCCAACTATTAACTATTAATTTCAACTGTTGACTCACTTTTAAACTATTAACTATGATTCATATTAACTAAGATTTATAACTTTCAACTATTAACTATTAATATCAATTTTCAACTATTAATAGCAATTTCAGCTATTAACTATTAATCATCAACTTACTTTTTAACTATTAACTATTTTACTATATATACTACTGTTAGTTAATACTTAATAGTAAAAGAACTTTTTTACTATATATACTACAACTGTTAGTCACTCTAGTACTCTCAGCTATTTAGTGTCACACAATGTCTAACTCTAGGACTATCAACTATTTAGCATCACACTATGTCAAACTTGCTAGTACTGTCAATTATAAGCTATTTAGTATCACACAATGTCAAACTCTAGTACTCTACTTTAGTACTCCACTTTAGTACTACTTTACTTTAATAGTTAATAGTAAAAGAACTTTTTTACTATATATACTACAACTGTTTGTAATAGTTAATAGTAAAAGAACTTTTTACTATATATACTACAACTGTTAGTTAATAGTAAAAGAACTTTTTTACTATATATACTACAACTGTTATACTACAACTTTTAGTCACTCTAGTACTCTCAGCTATTTAGTGTCACACAATGTCAAACTCTAGGACTAACAATTATTTAGCATCACACTATGTCAACCTTGCTAGTACTATCAATTATAAGCTATTTAGTATCACAAAATGTCAAACTCTATCACTATCAATTACTTAGTATCACACAATGTCAAACTCTAGTACTTTCAACTATATAGTATCACATAGTATCAAGCAATTTAGTACTATCAACTATTCAGTATCACACAGCCAAGCTCATAAACTAAAACCTAACTATAATTATACTATAAAACAAAACTCACAAAAAACCAACGGATGGATAATGCGTTGTTTATATAAAATATCAGCACAAAAAACCAACGGTGGATAATACGTTGTTTAAATAAAATTTCGTTTTGTTTTTGAACTAAAAACAATTTTTAGATAAAACAAATTTTGTAAAACAAAAAAACAAAACAATTAAAACACATCTTAAATACAATTAACAAAAAAAAATAAAAAATTGCAGCAAAAAAATTCAAAACAAATTCTAAAAAATTCACATTTTTTCTTTTCTTCTCTAAATACACACTATTTTCTTTTTTGGGATATTTTGTCATTTTTAATTAAAAACTAAACACAACGCCAAACACGGTAAAATTTAAAGCTGCGGACAAACAAACAGACAGGAATTCTCAAATTTAATATAGGATTATTTACATTAATTTCGAGTGTAACGATGTCCCAAAGTGGAGGAAGAATTCCTTTGAATCCCTTAGACAGAAAAACTTATCTCTCAAGCTATTAGTGGAGGTCGAGACACACAGTCTCGGTTCTCGAGTCAAGAAATTTCTCGGGTTTTTTGAGCTCTCGGTCTCTGTCTCGGTGTTGATTCTTGGTCTTAGTCTCGACTCTCGGCTTTTTTAACTCCCGACCATCACTGCAAGCTATACTGCCCTGATTGACAATTTGTCATGACATTTTGTCATTATCCCCACGTTACCTTGATCTCCCTGTATCAACTTATCTCCTTCTTTATTAGAAGAATCAGCTTCTTTCGAATAAGAAAATGGTTGTATTTTAATTTCTGTAGATATTCCCTCTAAATTATCTAAATTTTTATTTCCTCCCTCATTTATTCCATTAATTCCCTTCTTATTTTCTTCATTCTCTTTTAACCCAATTTCAGTTATTAATCTTTCTGCTTCCTTTTCCGCAGCTTTTATCTTCTCCCCTTCTTCATTTTGATTAATTAAAGTTTCATTTTTTGGAAAATAAATTGTTGGGATTTCAGAAATATTTTTCTTCTTATTTTTGTCTTCCTCCTCTTCCCTTCCCTTTTCTGTTGGAAAAAAATTTGATTGAATATTCGAAGTAGGTGTTTTTAATTCTTTATCTTCTTCATTATTCTCCTTCTTTTCTCCCTTAAATATTTTTATTTGAATCTCATCTCCATTCTTATTTTCATTTTCCTTCTCTTCCTTCTCAACAGAAAATGCCACCTTTTGGGCAGCCCCAGTTAACAAATCCTTTGTTGTTGGAATAGTTAATTCTTCCGATTGTTCGTCACTTTCTACTGGACTTATACTACTTAATTCATCTGGAAGTCTTTCAGTTATTTTTTCTGTAGATTCTGACTGGACATTATTTGTTGGGATTATTGAAGTTGTGCTGGTTGTTTGAAAAGTTTCAAAGGGTTTTTGTTGTAATATTAATTCGGGCTTAAAAATATTTTTAAAAATTTTTGAACAACCATTTTTATTTCCAAAAGTAAAAAACTTCAAAAAAATATTTGTACAACAAACACAATTTTCCAAAAAAGGTTTTATAGGTTAGCTAACGGCTCTAGTTTAGGACATGCGTCCCATGAGAGTTTATGCGTACCATGAGCTTTTATGAGTCCCAAAAATACTATAAGCGTCCCTTCAGAGTATATGCGTCCCTCTCTGATGGGACGCATAAAAGCTCATGGGACGCATAAACGCTCATGGGACGCATGTCCTAAACTAGAGCCTAGCTAACTTATAGCTGCGAGTACTCAGCGAATTCTTGGCCATTTTTTGGAATAAAATTTAGCCCTCATGAAAATGTTCTACAGATTATCCGGGTAAGAGAATCTGGTAATCCCCTTCTTTGAATACCTCCACTAATATATAATTGCTATTTCAGCTGTACGATGGTAAGGTTTCGATGCAACGGTGCCACTTTTTTTCCGGAGATACCCGCGGACCGAAATATAAGTTCCCGAAAATCGAAAAACCACTGTTATACTGTACTATATTCGCTGTTTCAAACACATCCTCAGGGCCAACTATCTGTGTTATTGACTAAGGTATGGGCTAAATATGGCAATCTACTCTTAAAAAAGATAATGGACCAAAATTGTCATAACATAATAATGGGAATAAGTTACCTGTTTTTGTAATTGCCCAACATTTTGTTCCTTTTCTTGTTCCCCACACCCTTCATCATCTGTCACTTCTATCCATTCAACATCTTCATCCTCTAAAACTGTAGAGCTTTCAATCTCTGATTCAATACCCTTTGGAGGCTCAATTAAATTATTTGTTGAATTTATTTGGGTATTTTGTAAATTATCCATTAGATTTTTAATGAAAAACAAATAAATTTGGGTAATATTTATTGATTTCCTCAATATTTTGACGATGAAAAACACTTGGGATTAAATGGATCAAAAATGATTGAAAAGAAAAAATATTTGTTTTTATCAGCTGTTACTTTTAAAGTATTTTTTTGTAAATAAAAAACAATTTTTACACCAGTTTGGAAAATATTATAGGGCAGAATCTGTTGAACTTGTCTGTTTTTGTTAACAACAAAATTTTTTTGAAAATTTTGTTACAATACTCAGGAAATTATTTTTTCTTGTATATTTCCTTAAGTTTGGTTTCAAAGGAACCTTTCTGAGTTTAGTACTTCATGACAGTAAGATTAGGATTTAGCGGACATATTTAATATTTTAATCTTAAATTTCTATCCAATGTCTCTTAACATTTCTCCAAATCAAATGAACATACCGTAAATGCTCTAATTGAACCACACTCCCTATTTGAAGCACACTCCCTAATATAAGCACACCCTAGGAGAGGATCGAAAAATAAAAGCACACTCCCTATTTGAAGCACACTCCCTAATAGGTATAAGCACACCCCTAGTGTATTGGCAGTAAAAAAGCAGATCATCATTTTTTAGTTGTATTTAGGTCATATGAAAAGGATTAAGGGAGATATACCCAAAAACCAATACACAAAACTGATAGACAGAAATCCGATACTCTTAAAATCCGATACTCTCTAAAGATTTTGAGTGATTAAGAGATATTGGTGATTTGGCGCATTAGAAGGTATCAGGGGATTTTGTAGACTAAGAGTGAAATTGGGAGATTTGATAGATAAGGTGGGATATCATAACGGTTTGATGAGATTAAAATATTTATTGAATTTATAGGCTGAATGATTTAGATCAGGGCTTGCTTCTTTCAGCACGAAAGGCGATTTCGAAGGAAAAAATTTAGTTATTTAGAAAAGTTTTATTAAAATGAGTGAATTCAATTGAAATTTAATTTTTGTTTTGTTTTATGTGAGGTTATCAATGGATTTCTGGACTCCAAAATTATATAATATTAATTTATGTGAGGTAAAAATTTTCATTAAAAAATTAAAAATAGATCAAAAAATAAAAGCACACTCCCTATTTGAAGCACACTCCCTAATATAAGCACACCCTACGATGGGATCGAAAAATAAAAGCACATGTGGTTCTATTAGAGCATTTACGGTAATAAATTAACTAAAATCATTTTAATTTCCAAAAAATTCCAAGCCCTCTTCCCCCCCCCCCCCCACTAATAGTCTTTAGGTGTATTAATAGTTTCATTTGCTATCCATTTTTCCTGCCTAACCAAATAAATTGTAAAATTTATTTAAAAATTTTTTATTGAAAATCTTGAAAAACGTTGCTTAGTTTTAAATACAAAAAATATTTCTGAGAAATTTATTTTATATTTACATTAAAAACTATGTGACATAAACATATCATCAGATATTTATTATTGCTTAATTAAATTTTCACTGGGAAATTATTATAATTTCAGAAAAAAGTTATAAAGTACATATGTTCTTTTACTGAAATACTGAAAAAGTCTGCGGTTAAGAGATACAGTCTGAGATCTATAGATGGCTTTCTTGTGAGCAGAGGTTGATCGGAATTCCGAGTTCCAATTTCCGAAAATTAAGGCTGGTTTCCGAGTTCCGGCTTTTACTCCATTTCCGATTTCCGACAGTTCCGATTTCAGGCAGCTTCGTCATTTCGATCAACACTGACAAAGAGACTCGAGTTTTTTGATTAATTTATCGCAGACACTTAGCTCTAAAATTGACAACAAAAAATAGTTTTTAGATTAAAATCATGCTAAAAATAAAGCAAAATTTTATTCAATTATTGTGGATGTATTTGTGCACGATTAAAAATAGCATTTCGATATGGTGTGTTTGTTAAAATACAAATAATTGGGTTAAATACGGGTATAAAATGAAAAAGAATTAAAATTAATATTCGAATAATGTTTGTTGTATAGTTATTTGTTTTTGAATAAATCATAATAAATAAGCCTCCAGTTAGATTGATAAATGGCATAAAAGCCTAAAATTGAATATAAAATAAACTAGAGTTCGAGCTCGGGCAAAAAGAGGGTATAGACTGGACAGAACTCATGATCCAACATTCAACGATATACCTAATCAGACGATATCCCAGATTTTGCTCCTAATACACCCAAATCGCACGATAATCAGCCCAAATCCCGCTTAATCCTTTGACATGGATCGTCAACATGGATCGTGTGCGTATCATGGAATTTCGGCGGATTAAGAGAGATAAATCATAACTGAGATTTGGATGATGATCCACTGCATTACTGCCAACAAATGACTAATACCCAGCATTGATGATGAGTATTTTTTATTAAAAGTATTGTTTCTATTAAAATATTTTTAAAATACTGTTTTATAAAAATTACTAGACTACTCGAACCCGGCTAAAAAGTTAGGTTTCAAACTCGGATAACTCGAGCTCGGGTTTTTTCCAATTACTCGGTATTAAAAAACCACCGGCAAACTATACTATATACAGTTTAAAATATTCTTACCAAAAGAATCAAAACTTTTGTTAGAAGTTTATTCAATCTCTTTAAATTTCCATCAATATTAGTGTTTAAATTGACATATCTAACCATTTTGAATCCGCAAACAATTATTATTAAATATGCACATAGTTCAGTAACTATCATAGGTAGAACAGACAACCCATTCATCTACATATATTTTTTGTTTAAATTTAAATAACAAAATTACCGTTTCCATTTTATATTGAATAAACGGCAATGTTTTGTTTAAATTTTCAAAATATTTTATACCCCCAAAAGAATAAGGAGTATAAAATAAAAACAAATCCAATACATAAAATAAGCATATAAATAAAACAAATGAGAACATAAATAAATAACGACGAAAATTAATTTTCATATTCCTAATAATATTTATTTGAGGAATGGCTGTAGTATATAGTAGTGATGGTCGGGAGTTAAAAAAACCCGAGAGTCGAGACCGAGTCCCGGGTCGAGACCGAGAGTTGAGACCGAGAGTCGAGACCAAGAGATTAGGAGGGATATCACTTGATATACTCCTAATCCCAAAAATCCCTATATATCCTTCATAATCCCCCAAATCACTTGAATCCCCAAATCCACAGTAGTTAATAGTAGGGGGATGTCGGGGGCGACTTTTTGACTTTTAAGTCAAATCCTTTTGATTAGTTTTGACTTAAGGTCAAATCCTTTTGAGCGGCTGGCTGGTAAAGCTCAAACCTTTAGCGCGAGTTAGTGCGGTAAAAGCTGAACAACCTGTACCTGTAGGAGGAAAGGGAAAAATTGATGTCGCGGGCGTCCTACTCCTCCTCCCTCTCCTTCCCCATCCCTTCTCTCTCCCTTTTCTCTTCTCTGGAAAAAAACGTCGTGGGGTGGTGGGGGTCTGGTAAAACCAAAAGGAAGAGGGCATGTTGGGGATCGCGCGGCAAAAACCTAAAGGGAGTGGACAACTTGGCAGAGTCTTGGGGTGGAGTGGGAAGGGAAGCCAAGATTTGTGATGAAGAGGTCAGACAAACGATAGAGTATGTGCATTTATTTGTGGGGAAAATCAAAATGGAGAGGAAAATTCTTGCGGAGTGATACGATAAATGAAAAGTGAATGGCAATATTTGGGGAGGATGGGTCAGACAATAGGAAATATTCAATTATGAGGGGAAACCAAAAGGAAGAAGGAAGAGAACCCCTTTTGAATGTGGACATCATGTCTAGGGTGGCAATAACTGAAATGGATAAAATAGTCTTGTAATCAAATAGTGATGAGAGGGTAGAAGTGGTTTAAGGGGTAATTTGTGAATCATCGTCGTCGTCGTGGCCTGCTTTTTGACTTTTAAGACAAATCCTTTTCATTTGTTTTGACTTGAAGTCAAATCACTTTGACAGGTCGGTGGTAATCTTCCTATATTAAAGAGGTGGAATCGAAGTCGCGGCTCCTAGTCCTCTTCCCCCATTCTTTTTACCTACTATACCATCCCTATTGTTTGGGATGAGAGGAAGAAGAATGGGAAAGGAACGAGACTCGAATGGTGTAGAATTTATTTCTCTATAACTTAGAGTAATTATTAGTTCTTTTCATCTCCTGATTATAGTGAAAAATTTTTACTCAATTATGTATTTTAATGGTTTGACTTTTAAGTAAATCCGTTTGATTAGATGGCCAAAACCCAAAACCCAAAACTTTGGGTCATGCGGTAAATGGTTAAACTGGTACTTCTCATATCAAGTCTCAATTTATAGGAGTTAGAGGAATCGGTATCGTTTTCGTTTCTTTCTCCTTCTCCTCCTTTGCTCCTGTTCCTTCTCTTCTCCTCCTCTCCTCATCCTCACCTTTCCTTTTCCTTACCTAAACTTTTTCTCTTACTCCTTCTCATTTCACCCTTTCCTCCCATTCTTCCTCCTCTTTTATCCTACTCCTCCCATCTTCTCCTCTACTTACCTCCGCACTGCTACCACTTCTCCTCCTCTCTTCCTCCTCCTCTTCAGCTTATCTTCTCTTTCTTCCTCTTCCTCCTTTTATATTCTCCTCTTTATTCCTCCTGCTCCTCTCTTTCCTCCTCTCTGCTGCTACTTCTCCTCTCAAAATCCTACTCCTCTCATCTTTTCTTTCATCTCATATTCTCTTCTTTCCTCCTCTCAGCTGCTACTCCTCTCTCTCTCTCTCTCTCTTTCTCTCATCTTCTCCTTTTCTTTCTTCCTCCTCTTCTTTCACATCCTTCTAATCTCTATTCGCCTCCTCTCCCCTTTTCTCCTACTCTTCCCCCTCTCATCTTCACTATTTCTTCCTCCTCTGACTCTCATCTTCTCAGCTATTTATTCCTCCTGCCTTCTTCCACTTCCCTTATCTTCTCCTCTCTTTTTCCTCCTCCTCTCTGCTACACCTCTCATCATCTCCTCTCCTCTTATGTAAATAATTAACTTAAGTTATGAGGACTTGTGAGAGA